ATTCGGTGACTGGGGTAATCGGGATGGGTGTGTCAGAGGCAGTGCGGTTGGCGCAGGATAGAGCAGGGTTTAGGGCTGTTGTGCATAGGGTCGCTATGCGTCGTAAATGACTCGATGGCACGTAACAACAACAACAACAACTACATTGCCGTGGTGGTCAAGATAACGAGGTACTGGTACCATGACAGACACATAATAGATAAATGGAATAGAATTGAGATTCCAGAAATCAGCCCATTTACCTATGGTCAACTGATTTTTGACAAGGAGATGAAATCAGCTAAGCGGGAACATGACAGCCTTTTTAACAAATGGTGCTGGCAAAACTGGAAAATTATCTGTCGAAAACTCCAGCAAGATCCACACCTCACTCCATATACAAAAACCAACTTAAAGTGGATTAAGGACCTACGAATAAAACCACGGACTATAATCTTCATTAGAGAAAAGCTTGAAAGAATTCTAGAAGTCCTAATGCACCAATACAGTCTTCCAAGCATCCTGAAAAATCTACAACCAGGAGAGGATAAAATAGCAGAATGGGACTTTCTAAGAATCAAATCTCTATGCACATCCAAAAACTTCTCCAACAGAGTGAAAAGGGAAGCCACAGACTAGGAAAAATATTTGGTAATGGCATGTCTGATAAGGGACTTATATCTAGATTTATAGAATACTCACACACCACAAGAAGATATAGGTAAACAACCTAATTGCAAAATGGACACAGGATTATGAACAGACACTTCACCTAAGAAGACATTCAGATGGCAAACACATGAAGAAATGTTTAAAATCTCTAGCTCTGAGAGAGATGCAAATCAAAACAACTATGAGATACCATCTCACCACAGTCAGAATAGCAAAATTTAACAGACCAGCAAACATTAAATGCTGGTAAGGTTGCAGAGAAACTGGAACCCTTATTCACTGTTGGTAGAAGTGAAAAATGGTGCAGCCACTATGTAAGGCAGTATGGCGCTTTCTCAAAAAGTTGCAAACAAATACCATTTGACCCAGCAATTCCACTACTGGGAATATACCCTAAAGAAACCATAACCGCACACCCATGTTTATCGCAGCTTTGTTCGCAATAGCAAAGAGTTGGAAACAACGTAAGTGCCCATCAACAAATGGATTGGTAGAGAAGCTCTGGTATAGTCACACAATGGAATATTATGCGGCATTGAAAAACAAGGAACTCATGAAATATTATACAAAATGGGTGACCCTGAACTGACATTATACTGAGTGAAATATCTTGGTCACAAAAGGACAAATATCATTTAACACCAGTATTACAAAAGAGAAGTGGCATGGGGGTTGGGGGGAAACAAAGCTAAGAGGGAATAAATAATGAACACTGCCTTGAAACAGATGCTTCAAATGAATATATGATTAGGCATTATATGTACAACCATAGCCCAGAATAAGAGGTACATTGCGAAGAGGACTTGTGGGGGCAGGGGGGAGAAGGTAATTGTGCAACCATGAACGAATATTAAAAAAGTGAAGTGGGGAGGGAGAATGGAGAGAGAGGGGGTAAAATGCACAACAAGAAATAAATGAAAATCTAACTTTTCTGTAAACTTTCATTACAAAAGAAATTTTATTTAAAAAATTTAATACTTGTGCTTTTAAAAAAGTTCTTTTCTTTTAAAAGAAAATAAAATAATAGCCATATACAGAGTATATATCAACCATTTCCCTTTCCTGATCTTCATTCAGGAGGACCATTCTCAACACAAAGACTACTCGATTTGTAATTCAGGACTGTGTATCTATCCCTCCTGACCCAGACACTCTGTTTCATGCCCCTAAGCTTTGCCTCCAAATCTGAATAAAGGCCTAGAAGTACTTTACTCAAATTAGCTCTACCAAGGACTCTGGGGCTGCACAAGGTCTAACATCTGGGTACCCAGAACATTCATTTATTTATAAAACTGCTATTGAATATAAAACAAACAGTGCATCCTGTCTACAATCTCTGTGTACCCACCTTAAGCGCTGCTTATAATAATCTTCATCTCCATCATCTTGCCATCTCACTGTTTTCCTACCTCCCCCTTTTCTTCCTCCTGTTGCTTCAGTTTCTTCTCCAGAACTTGGGAAAAACTCTTCATCAATCTCTTGCACTGTGAATTTCTTCTGCTGTTTTTGACCTTTGCACAGAGGTTTCAGTCTATAACTGGTGCCACCTCGGGAAAGGCTGGCTTCAGCTGCCTCCTCCTCATCATCCTCCTCCTCAGGTAAGTACTCAGACTCCTCACTCTCTGAGGTACCTTCTCCCTCCTTCCTCTCTGCTGCCAGTGTTTTTGTTTCCTTTTGCAATCCCACTTTCCCCTGGAACTGAAGAGCCCTTTTCTGCAGTTTCTTAATATGCTTTTTCAAGCGTTCATCTGTTCTTGAGAGATTTTTGCTTTTCTTGTTTTGTTGGTTTTCATTTAGTGTTGGATTCAACTCAGTAGCAGTTGAGGCTGGAGTCTTCCTCCTCACTCTTTTATTACAAACTTGCTTCTTTCTTTCAAATGACAGCTTTGCTTGATCTGCTAAATACTTTTCAAAGTCTGATGTTTCATTAAGCATTAATCTTCTGGGCTGTTTCTCCTGCTTCTGAGGAATCTGGGTTCCAAAAGGTGTCATCTGTCCCGTGCGTATGAGGTCCTCCCACTCAGTCTCCTGAACAGGCATGAACACGCTGCCCAGACAGGATGGCCCCGGCTCTACAAGAACAAACACAACACAGGTACAAGCATCAGCTTTCCAAGATTAAGACAGAGTCATCTACTCAATATATATTAATCCACTGACATGGAGCCCATTCAAATTCAGACTGATTCTACAGGATGTTTTGCTTTGTTGATTGCCCTTGAGTTGAGTACAACTTTACGAACAAAGACAGGATAAAGAGCTATAATCTTTACAAACAGACAGCTACATCTTTCTCCTAAACAGCATAAAGTGGACGTGGACCACTCATGTACCACTGTACTACACAGGCTTTCAACAGATATTAGGCATCTGGAAATAACTTTAAAAAAAAAAATTAATGATGTACAAAAGCCTAATAAATATAGAAAACAGAGTACAATTTTGACAGTATGTATCACACTACATTTATTTCTGTTCAAAAATACTCACAAATACCTTTTCTGCAAAAGCTCCCATTACAAATACATTCTCTGAGCAGCCAAAGACAAATTTATTTCTAGATAAGCTATAGTTATAAACAAATTAAGTTCACAATGTTTCTTAGTTGCCCATGAGGTAACAATTTCTCAAATTTCCATGTCCTTGTTAACACTAAAATTTTGATGGACCTAAGTTCAAAAGACAGTAATGCTAAAAAAACAAGCATCTAAAAAAATTCAGTATGTACCTAATCAAGAAAAATTAGCTCTGCATTGCTCAATATGATTGTCACTATTCACACGACTCTTTAAACGTACATTTAAAATTCAGTTCCTTTAGATCTTAAATAGCCACATATAGCTAGAGTTACCATACTGTAAAACATTCCCATCATTACAGCTGGGTCTTCCAGACAGCACTGGTATTAGTGATGTAAAACTGACTGAAAAGATAAAGTTAGACGTTAAACATAATACAAAACACAGAAACAATCCTATTTTGTCATTGTTATGTGCTATCAAATTGACTACAACTCATAACAACCCTATGAACACAGGATCTGAACCCAACCCTAATCTTGCACCCTCCTCATCTTCTTTAATATACTTGAGCCAAATGTTATAATCATGGTATCAATCCATGTTGGTAAGTGTTTTCCCCTCTGGCTCTGATCTTCCACCTTTTCCAGCATAATGCCCTTTTATAAGGACTGGCCCTTTCTAACAATATGCACAAAGTATGTGAGATAAAGTTTCACCATCCTTGTCTCTAAGAAGCACCCTGCTTGTACTTCCTCCAAGACATATTTGTTCTTTTGGCAGTCCATGGAATATTAGTACTGTTTTCTACACCACAATTCTAAGGCATCGATTCTCCTTCTGTCATCCTCAATCACTCTCCCACTTTCAGGTGCGTAGGAAGTAAATGAGAAGAACATAGTTTGCATCAGGTTCACCATAGTCTTTAAATTGACATCACTGTTTATTAGCATTTTGGTGAGATCTTTGACAGCAGATTTTTCCCATGCCACACATCTGATTTCTTTACTGCTGGTATCAAGGGTGTTGCTTTCCAGATTTCCTGGGACAGTCTGATAAGCATTTATAGGGTTGTATCTGTTTGTTGGTCCTCCTCAGGGTCAGCAAGCAAGGTCATGTCTGCATAACACAGGTTGCTGAGGAGTCTTCCTCTAATTCTGATGACACATTTCTCCTCACAAAGCCTAGAGTACTGAATGATCTGTTCTGCATATAGATTGAAAAGGTAAGGAGACTGGACGCATCCCTGATGCACTCTATTTCTGATTTTGAACCATGCAGTGTTTCCTTGCTCTGTTCTGAGGACTGCTTCCTGGTCTGAGAATAGATTTCACATAAGCATAGTCAAATGTTCTGGGATTCCCATTCTTCTCAAGGTCAGCCACAATTTATTGTAATCTACATAGTCAAATGCCCTTGCATAGTCAATGAAACACAGCAGACAGACATTCTTCTGGTTACTTTCTGCTTTCTGGCATGATCTATCGGACACTGGTGATAATGGCTCCAATGCCATGACCTCTTGTAAACTCAGCTTGTACTTCTGGCAGTCTTCTGTCAATATACAATATCACTGATATCACATGCAAGCAAAATTCTGCTGAAAATTATCCAAAAACGTTTGGAAAACTATGTCGAGAACTGCGAGATGTGTAGGCTGGATTTAGAGGAGATCGTGGAACTAGGGATATTACAGTTAATGTTAGATGGATCTTGGCAGAAAGCAGAGAATACCAGAAGAATGTCTATCTGCTGTGTTTCATTGACTATGCAAAGGTTTTTGACTGTGTGGATCACAACAAGCTATGGATGACTTTGAGAAGAATGGGAATCCCAGAACACTTGATTGTGCTAATGCAAAACCTATACTTGGACCAAGAGGCAGTCGTCAGAACAGAGCAGGGAGACACTGGACGGTTCAAAATCAAGAAAGGGGTCTGTCAGGGATGTATTTTGTCTCCATACCTTTTCAATCTGTATGCAGAATAGATCATCCAAGATGCTGGGCTGTACAAGATTGGTGGAAGAATCATCAACAACCTGCGTTATGCAGATGACACAATGCTGCTTGCTGAAACTGAGGAGGACCTGAAGTGCTTGCTGCAGAAAGTCAAGAACTGCAGTCTTCAATATGGATTGAAGCTCAATATCAAGAAAACAAAGAATCTGTGGGTCCAAAATGGTGGCGGAGGCAGAGACAACGTGGTGAGCTGCGGGAGCAGCGGACCACTTGGGAAAGGGCCATTAGGACCCTCTACAGACTTCTGTTTATTGATAATTGAACAGTTAAACAGTTGATGACTGGTCTTCAGTGAGGATTGAGGCTCAACAACAGGAATTCAAGGATTCCCAAGGAAGAATGGTTGAGTGCTGCAGCTTCCAACCCCCTCCCACAGAGCCCGCACTGCGCCTCACCACAGCCGCAGCTCCATGAAGCTCCCACAGCCGGAACCTATGGAATCCCTCGCCCATGATGCAGGGTAGGCACCAGGCCTCCCCAGGACTGGTACGGCGGAGCCACCACACTGCAGCAAAGTGTTCTTGTTCCGGGGAGAATTCTTGGAGCCAAGATGGTGGCAGCAGGGGAAGCAGGCGGCCACTGGCCTCCCCCACACGAGATGAGGCGCGACCGCCAGCCGCCCATGTGGGAGATGATGTGCGGGAGATAGCTTGTGCCCGCCAGCCACCCACATGGAAGATGGCACTCTCCCAGCAGCTGCCTGCGTGGGGGGATGGTGCGCGCCCGCCGGCTTCCCGCACACGGGATGACGCGCTCCTGCCAGCCACCCGTGTGGGAGATGACACTCGGGAGGTGGCTCGCATCCGCCAGCCACCTGTGCAGAAGATGGCACGCGCCCAGCGGCCGCCCGCACAAGGGAATGGCGCACACCTGCCAGCCGTCCGCGTGCAAGATGGTGCAAGCCCGCCGGCCGCTTGCAATGGGGAATGACAGGCACCCGCCAGTCGCCCATGTGGGAGATGGCGCACACCGGCTGGCCGCCCCGCACTGGGGCATGGTGCACACCCGCTGGTTGCCTGCGCACGAGATGGTGCGTGCACACCGACAGATGACGTGCACCTGCTGGCTGGCCGCACAGAGGAATGGTGCACACCCACCCCCATCAGCTGCCGGCGCACGAGATGATGCCCGCCTGCCGAGAGATGGCACATACCCACCGAGAGACGACAAGCTCCCACCGGTCGCCCACGCACAAGATGACGCGTGCCCGCCAGCTGTCTGTGTGGGAGATGACACTTGGGGGATGGCTCGCGCCCGCCAACCACCCACACGGAAGATGGCACGCGCCCGGCGGCCACCCGCTCGGGGAGATGGTGTGCGCCCTCCAGTCGCCTGTTTGAGGGATGGCGCACGCCTGCTGACCGCCCCACTCTGGGGGATGGTGCGCACCCGCTGGCTGCCTGCGCAGGAGATGATGCGAGCACTCCGAGAGATGACGCGCACCAGCTGAGAAATGATGCTAGCCCTCCGGTCGCCCACGCGGGAGATAACATGCGCCCACTGGCTGCCT